CTGAATTTTGATATTCTGTGCTAAGACCTGAACACCACTGTGTTCAGTGCTAGATACATGCAAGAATCAGAAAGGAAAAAAAAAAAAGAGGAAAATGAAAGACATTTATTATCTTAAACTTCTCACTGTGATATCCAGAGCTGTCTTGGAATTTACTCAGCGTCGTCGTTCTCACACTATCATTTGTTCTATGCATCATGCAGGGAATCATCCGTTTATGCTTCTAGGAACCCTTAGGCACCAAAAACATACTTGTATCTGCCCCTTCGTCTTTACTCAGTTCGTTATCTGTTTAGTACTAATCATTAATAATATAGTAAATAATAATAACTTTTGTTTTGAGTTTTCTCAACTCTCTAATCCCCAAATTTGGCTATCTCTGCTTATGGCCATAAGCAGAGAGGAGCAGCAGCACAGTGAGAAGCTCCACTGTGGGCACCCCACTTCCAAACTGGGTTCGCTGGGGAACGTGTGCATAGGCGCTTGACTTCCCACAGTCAGGCTGGGTCCAGCTGGGCTGGGCCTGAGCTGAATTCGCTGCAGGCGGAGTCGGGGCAGTATCATGCTCAGGAAGAGCCAAGGAGAGAGTGGTGAGAGCAGCAATGCAAACAGGGAGCAGCTGCTCCTGGAAAGAGGATGAAGAGAGAGGAAAGAAGCAGAGGGAGCAGTAGGTTCAGGATGGGATGAAGGGATGAAAAAGGCCACAGTGAAAGCCATAGACTAGAGATCTTGGGAAGTTAGGACAATAAAACCATTCCTGGCATTTCCTGGGTGTCCTCAGGTGTCCATCCTCAAGCTGCCTGCTGCTACTGCTGCCACCCAGCCTGCTGCACAGCCTGTGACCCATTTCTGTAGTAAATGTCCCACAGATTGGGAAGCCCTGGTCTGTTCCCCTGTAAGGTCCTATGGGCAGTGACTGCTCACAGCTTATGGTGTGTAGCACATTTTGATTGCACTTTTAGTTGGATGTATGTTATCATTATTCTGTATAGAAATAGATAATAATAGCCATAATATTAATAAAATGTTGACTACAGTGAGAGAGACTTCCAAGATAAGAAGCATTTCCAGTCAAAATGAAAGCAACATGAGGATAGCAACACGTATGATTTTAGGGGCAATTCTGATCTTGCATTTGGAAAACATATTCTGATTCAGATGTCATGAAATGAATTTCCTTTTGGCTGGTAAATTCATCAAGAATGCAACAATAATCAAGTTCAAGAAGCAGAAGCTATGCTGTATGTTTATTGAAGGGCAAATTCAGTTACTGAATATTGAAATTATGAGACAAACTATGCAAACAAGACCTCTTGAAGAGTAGTCTAGTGTACTGGGCAATTTATTTTTATTAAAATGAGCTCTATTATCAGATTGCTCTTAAACTGTGTGAGTGGCTCAGTTGTGGACACTGGAGCACTAAAGAAGTACTTCAGTTTACATCTAGCAATCCATTGCTTTCTGAGCAAGTTAACCTTATTGAGTGATCCTTTCCTCAAGATGGTCTACGTTTCAGATTTCAGTTGCATGCTTGTTATATCTTTGTAACTGGTGAGTTGTATCTAAAGCTCTCAAAAAGTGATTATGAGAATAGCTGTACTTAAAAAAAAATCGAACATTGTCATCACCTGAGTGCTTTTTGATTGCAAGCAAAGGAGGATTTTCACAATGTACTTCAGGGCAATACTCCAAAGTAAGTTTGAGTCACAATTTTTGCTTGCTTAACCTATCTCTGAAAGAAGTAGTAAACTCTCATGATCAAGAAAAGAAGGAGTATGAAATATTTCAAGACTTACTGTAAATATCAAATACAATTATAGGAGAATGCAAGTAAATATGGTAACAAAATTAGTAATGCGTTAATTTTACTATAAAAAAGTTGCACAACATGGGGACAGCATCAGGAGAAGCTAATTAATTGTCATTAAGCCTTCCCAGTTCCATATTGGTGGCCTTATATGCGGAGGTGTAGAAGGAAGCTTTTCACTTACCTTGAAATAAACTTCTTAAAAATAGTAGTAATTAAGTAATTGTATTCACAACATTACTTAAGTAGGAAGGAATATTTAATGGCCAAGTCAATAAAGAACTCAAACATCTATAGGGTAGGTGTTACAATACCTAACTTTATTTTAAAGCTGGCACAAGAGTGGAATTTGTGGCTCATAGTTGAAAAGGTGACTTAGGCATTTCATGGTGAAATCAAAAACAGCTATCACAGTGAACAGGAAACTGTATACACTTCAGCACTGCCTAAAATACAGGTGGAACTCTTGTCATGATAACCAAAATCTCTACTTATGGAGTTTTTACCTGCAGAATTGGTTTTACGAATGTGTGCATAATGTAACTGGTCAGACTGTAATAACACCCTTGCCATTATTTCAAAATGAATCCATTATTCACAGTGAACCTGGTTATCAGGAAGACATTAAAGTATGTTCGCTTTATCAAAGAGTATGGGTTAATTGATTATGCATTCCCTTCTACTTTTAGATAACAGGCACATGTGGGTAGCATTACTCTTTTTATCTAAATATTCTGTGAATTTTTTTATGTAATACTCTGATGTAAGAGAGCACAGAACATAGCTAGGGCAAGATTTCAGTATGGTTTGTTCTCCCAATCAGAGAGCGTGAAAATCATGCAGCCAACCTTGCAGGAAAAACTGTTACCTAGCAGGCTACTAGTTAACTGGCAGCTTAGGCAGAGATTGAGAGAAAATTAGACTATTAGAGGGAGTCTGTGATTCTGTTTTTCATTTTACCTATTAATAGATATTTAAACAGTTCTCATAGCAAGAGCTGAGTTGCATTGCCTCTCAGGATGGACATATCTTTTCACTGACTCAGAAGTGGCGCTCCTGGGGAAGGGCACAATCAAAACCTGAAGCATTTGTATGGAATACTTCTAGAGATAGGCAACAGGCAACTGGGACCTTTTCCGGATTGCAGTTTCAGACTTAGGTTCACAGGGCAGGTTTATTCTCATCTAACTTTGCCTGTCTTAAAGATAAACATGTAGTGAGGAATCTCACCGCTCATTTGTGCGTAAGACACCAAAGGCATCTTCTGCAGCCACCGAAGGCATCTTCTGCAGCATTTTAGGTTCTGCTCTGGAAACCAAGCATTGAGCTGTTAGGCTCTGGGACCTAAAACTTTTGGCTCACAAAGTCCTCATTATTGAAACGGACCCTAAGAAGCTTCTCTGTGGTAAAACAGGACTTCTGCAACAGAGTCACCAATTTAAAACAAAAAAAGATGTATGGGGTATTTCTTTTCTAAACTGCCTTTGTTTCTCAGGATATTGGTTTGTCCATAGCCCATGAAAACTTAAGAACCTTTTTCCTTTAAGTAAACGGAATACTAGTTTTGAAAGGTTATCTGCTTTATTTTTCAGTGCGCAGCAGTAGACAGAAGAATGATTATCCACCCATAAGCTAGAACTAGGTAGAGAAGGACAGAGTTTCTGATTGAAGAGGAGAACTGTGGGGGAGTTTCATATGTCTGTTACTAGGCTACAAGATTTTATTGTGCGTCTTCATTACCAATAATCCATCATAAGGCTCTAATTAATAGTTGTTGTATCACTGGCATAACTTGGAGAAGTCTTTTTATATGTTAGAGATAACAATGAAAAATATTGATGGTTGTGCTCAGTAAATCAGGGAGTCAGTAGAAAAAAAATTGTTGATTTTTCTATTTGGTAGGTAGTCAGGGGATACTGCAGTCATCCTGCAGCCAGCCTCCTTACCATCTGGCATTAAGAGAGTATCAGCATAATTAATTTCAAAATCAGTCAGCAGATTATACTGAATGATATTTTCTTCAGAGAAAAACATTAAATAATAGAAAAGTTTGCACCACTGTAAGTCTTTCCATTCTGTTATCTCAGCAGCTTTACAGATTTCTTTGTTTTGTACCTCACATCCCTTGGCAGTGATTGTATTTTGCCTGTTGCATTAACAGATGCTGGTAAGTGTAATGGTTTGCTGAAAGCTGAACAGCAAATCTCATGCTGAGCTGGTGGGAGTGCCCAGATCTTGTGGTCGCAGAAGAAAGATATATGATTTATGGAAGAAAGAGAAGAAGAAAAAGGAGCTGACACATTTCAGACATGAGAAGCAGTAGTAGAATTCAGTGCAGAATTGGGGGGTGACATTTTTTTCAGACTCTCATGTATCTGCCTTCATGTATTGTTTATTTTCCCTGCAGTTCAGAAAATTCGTGTTTTGTATTCTGTTGGCTATATCTAGAATACTGAGCTATGTACTTCCATATGCCTCAGGAACTGAGCCTGATTGGCAAGAAAACGTAAAGATGAGTCAGTCTTCACCCGTGGGAACTCCTGAGCTGTGCTGTGCTCTTGGGCCCCCCGAGTTCTTGGAGAGGACGTCCTGAGACAGAGCAGACACTGAAAATTTGCTTCCATTGCTGATTCTGTGGCTGTTTTACATGTCTGAGGAGATTTAAGTTAGCACCTTTGGAGCAAAAATACATTATTTCTTTTGAATAATAACATACATTTTTCCACAATTATCTTCATTAAAAATGCAGCTTACAAGATTTGATTACTTATTCTGTAATCACCTTTCTTTCAGTGTGCTCTGTAATGTGATATGTTTGAACATTTTTGTATCGCCTAGCAGTACTGTAACAAGAAGGCATTCTGTAGCTAAATACAGCTGCTTCATCTTAGAGGAAATATTAGGTGCTTTTTGCAATTTGGAAAGAATTTGTAGTTGTCAGACTGAACACCAAGTAACTCAGGCATAATAAATGATAATCGTTTTCTCTCTTTGAAAGACACTAAAGACAGTATTTCCGTATTAGTTCACAGGCGTGCAGATGGCTTCTTCATATAATAGTATCTCCAGCATTAAAGTTGATCAAGAGGGAAATTATATGAGTGAAAATGTGTCAGAAAAATAGTAGTAAAATTCCTAGAATATATGATAATATTAATCTTAAGTAATGTATATTTAATATATTTTCTTTTAGGAAAAGCCACTGACCAAATCTCTGCAAAGAGGAGAAGACTCCCAGTTTGATCAAGTAAGAAACTTCAAATACTGCTTAATTTCTGTGATTTCCATTTCTCAGGCTATAAACTGAATACTTGGAAAGGAGTCTAACGTCCTTATAATGCTGACATGGCATACTACAAAAGCAAAATCTTTCAATGTATTTTAGTAGAATTATGAGTGCTCGGTCTAAAAGCCTTATTTTCCATGGTTTCCGAACTTAATGTTTTTGCCATAGGACTTACTGATTTTTTCAGCATATTGGACACGTGTATTCTTTCCTGTCTGTTTCACCTGATGGAGGTTCTGAAGCAAACTTTTCAACTTTTCAGAATATCTCATTTTTGAAACAGGCTCGTGGCCCCAGGTATTTCTTTTATGGAAGTTTATTTTTTGGTAAATAAAAGGGCCTACAGAATCGTTGTCATTGCCTTCTGTCTTATCAGTGTTTTTTGTATCTGTAGCTGTGACCCAGCACAACTTACGTGTATGTGGCGCTTCACATAGGCTGAGCCATCTCACTGTTTTTAAGCGTAAGCATAAATTCAGTTGTCAGGATTAATGCCTATATGTGACAAGGTAAATAGCAATTACAGAAAAATGGCAAGCAGAGAAAAAGAATTGAAAACTAAAATAGAATGTATATTATGAATTAATTTAATAAACATTTCATGAAATTTTATTTAATAAAATGAAATTTATACCTGGTAATCCATAAATGGATTATGTGAGGGAAGATGCACCAAGTATTAGAAAAAGCACAATGGTAATATATACACTTTTTACTGATTTTGTCAGAGAATTAATTGTTGTCAGCAGCCTGTTTCTTAGAAAAAATGAAGTATCTAGAAAAAATTCTTAAGTGAATAACCTGTTGATACAAAGCAAGATTAGGAACAGAAATACAGTTGTTAAAGAATTTAAGTTGCAGAAAAGATGCCAAAACTCCCTCCTAATAAAGAGGAGGACTAAACTCAAGGTGTATCTTAAATATCTAACCTCTTTGCTGCTCCACCATTCCTGCCTCAGCTCCTACCAACTGACCTTCCTGTTGTCATTGTCACCATTAGCTGGGACTGCCAGCACCACTGTGCTGCTGGTGGTGCCTGAAATACAGGGACAGAAATAGGAGAAGCAGCAGCAACAGAGACAACTTTGGAAGCAGCTGGGCAAATACCTCAAATTGTGGGTACCGTATTGATCAACTTAACTTTGGGGGAGAGGATAAGTATGGGTAGGTCTTCAGAACCTGTAATGAATTTAACTTGTTTTATTGTATTTTCTGGTGCATGGGATGTGTTGCACCAGAAGCAAAGGTGCCTGTGAGACCCTGGTGGCATTCACAAAGCCTTATTTGCTAATTTTAGCCTGACAAAATGAAGCTCCCTGGGTTCTTCTCTAGCTTCTTTCTGGGCAGAAGGAGTGTTCTCCAAGGGCAGTTCAAATCAGGAGCAATGGTAGGACTTATGCTTTGCCCTTGGGAGCTCCCTGCCCATCTCTGCTAACAACAGAGAGAGTCAGCAGGGAAGCCAGCTCCTGTATGCTAAGCAGGCTGCTTTGTGAGTACCCCTGGCTGCCTAATGAAAATTTTTGTGGTATTTTTTACCTTAATTTCAGATTTTTACTTTTTTTCCCTTCCTATGGGAAAAGAGTCAGACATAAATAGGAAAGAATAACAAATTAAGCTGCCCATATGCAAACCCTGTGATAGTGTTTCTGCAGCGTGTTAAGCAAATACATAACTTTATGCATAATGGGTGGCCGTGATTTGATTAAATATTCATGCTTTGGCAAACTGTGGCCCCTTACAAGGATGAATTAGAAGATTTATGCCTCTTCTAGTTATTGCTGAGCAGTTAGAAGACTAAACGACATCAGTGAGATCAGAGAGAGAGAGAGAATGGTGAATGCTTTCTAGAGTGAAGCAATTGTGTATTTCTAACTGTAGCAACTGACCATGACTGTTGGGGTGGGGGGAAACAGATACAGACAGAAAACAGACAAAAGCAAATTTTTGCTGTACACGACAGTTATATACAATTCTAACTATGTATCTACATGTAGTCCTACCTGTCTACCTCTTTCTGGGGAGTTGGTAGAAAAGTATATAGCCGAGCTTGCTTTAGACTTCCTGTCAGAAGACTTTGTTGTCATTTGCTTGAAATTTTCCAAACAAACTCTCCAGGTTCAAATTTTCAAGCTAGCTGTCTGCCTCAGCCTGAGTTGTTGGCAACATTTCACTTTTCAGGAGTCACATTGCTTTACTCTTGAACAGTACAACCGTTTTGAGGTCTTCTAGTGCTTCATGATTGGAAGGTGGGACTTGAAATGTGCCAGACTGATGAGCTTACTCTCAAGAATGTGGGTCATACCTCTCAAAATCATCTTAATTTGGCTAAATTCAAGTCAGATTTTAATTGGAAAAAATGTAGTTCACACTAGAGATTTGTTAGAACTCAGCTAGAGTAGAGACAGTAAAACAGATCAAAGAATGTATTTTATAAATAAACTCAAATGTTTAAAGAGCATATGGGAGGAAGGAAAACCAAGTTGATAATCCTTTGCTTCTGTCTTCCAGTTAAGGTGTGAAATGCTTTGGCATTTATTCCTGGAACACTCAAAAAGTCATTTAGCAAAAACAGGAAAGGCCATGCATGACATTCCAGACATTTTTAATACAGAAGTGAGGGAGGAAAAGAGGGAAAATCCCTATGAACAAGCATTTTGGAGAGGCATTTAATAATTTTGACTGTTGCAATTTTAAGGCTTCCAAAATGATACACTATCAAAGGAATGTAATTTTCATAGAGCCAATTCTTAAGACTTCATCAAAATTCTCTCTTTTTAATTTGAATTAAATTGATAGGTGAAATTAAAGTAACTAAGTCACTAGACATTTAAAAAGAATCCAAGCCACATCTTTTGTCGATAAATTAACAGGTAGCAAAAGTAAGGTATGACCTAGTTTAAAAACTGTATGTCTTTTGCAGGTCAGCTTCAGATGTGGAAAAAAACAGCCAATGCAAAGCTTTGCAATATCTTAAGATTGACAGAATGGAACTTTAGGTACTCTGAGTATTCCAGTTTAAAATTAACACTGAAGCCCCCAAATCTCTAGAAATGATGGAAAAATATTCTTTAGTTCCCCTAAACAGTTTTCTCGCTGGCTCACAGAGAACAAGCATTTTTTTGCCCATTCTGAAACACCATTTTTAGCAATGCAAGTTGCAATGGTGGTCATAGCTCCAGGGTCTAGGGACCCGATGGTGCAGAGGCATAGTTCAAGGGGTGGTTCTCATCAACACACTTTTTTTAATGCATAAGCATCCTGCAGCTACAGGAACGGGGTATTGAGCATCCATATCAGTGACCCTCGTTAGGCAGATGTCATGTTCTCGGTGATATCGTCTGGTCGGCTCTGTCTGGCTGCCAATTGCATCGCCCTCCACAAACTCAGAAGAGTATCTTGAGCAACACGTGAACTCCAAAGTAATCTTACTTACCCTGACATGCAAAACATCCCACTATTCTCCTTGCAAACTGGATTAATTACACTGACTATATTTTCCTTTCTATGTGTGCATATATGTAAAGAAAATATATACAGGGAAATATATACAGTTTTTATATATGGCTTTATATATTTATAATATATTTAAAGTCCTGTTTTTAAAATTCCTGATTAGACAACTCTAGGTGCCTACTGGGAAAGAGCACTACAGTTCCATCATTAATATGCTCTCTGTCACCAGTTACAGAAATGTTATTAAACGTAGTACTACTGAACTATGACTTAAGCTTCCTACTGCAGGAAATCATAAAGTTGCAATATATGAAAAGATCAAAAGCTAGGGTAAAAAACCATGATTACCCCAGAAAAGAGACTTATCCTCTCCCAAGGAAACATTTTTATTAGTCTTCTCTCAGCCCCTACTAATAATGTATATTCTGTTCTTGCCATAGTATATCAATGTTCTATGAATTGACCCTACTGGAAGCAGAAAAAGGGCACTGTTTAAGCCTGGACCAGCTTTATATTCTTCCATATAAAAATACAACATGAATGTTATGTTTTGGCCATACTTACACACTTCCATGGATGTGAATACTTAACAGCAGGACTGTTAGTTTTCATGTGAAACTGTCCGAATGAAGTGCCTGTTGTGATAGCTGCAGTATAAACTGCGTAAGTGTGCTCGTTTTAGTTATAATACTCTCTTCTTAGAAGTGCAGTAGATTAGAGAATGCAAACTGGAAAGCAGAAACATTTTATGTTTTACATACTTTTAGGAGACAGAAGTCAAAAATAGGTCAAGCTAAGAAGAGGAAAATAAAAATGTAATCCTAATAAAATGTGGAAACTACAAATATATGTAGATAAAATAAGACACTAGGCAAAATACTAATGGTCAAATGTCCCTTTTCCGTAACAGCCTAAAGGTGGTGGATAATACGCTGATAATAATCTGCTCAGTCAGTATTCCCATCCTATATTATACTTTTTAGATACAGTATGTGAATAATCCCATCAGCATCATTAGTCTGTTTCTTTTCCCTAACAGGTGTATAACTGTAGTTGGCCCTCTTCATGTTTTTCCTTTCGTTGCCCGTTGTGCATTGTCCTTCTTCACTAACAAAGGGGCACATAATAGAGAAAGTATGAAAAATGGTACTGATGGGGCTACAGCAACAGCCGTTGGCCTCTGCCCAGAGATTCGGGTTGAAACAAGATGTAAAGAACTAAATCAGAAGGCAAAATTAAAGGTAGCACATTCAGAAATGAACTTGCAATGCACTAGAAATAAATGTGCTTTCATGTAAAATATTATCCTGGTAGTAAAATAGCTATAAGCATTGCAAATTTATAGGCAAGTAAGGTGAAATTACCCATCTACAAAAATTATGATGATGACTTGTGTTTTAACTCACACAGCCAAGGTCATAAATGAAAACTAGTGAGTCCAACTTAAGAGTTATCAGCTTTAACAATTTGCAGAGACATTTAACTTCCTAGACTTGTCAAAAAAATTGCTTAGAACAGAGGTGCAAATGAAATGACATTTTCATAAACACAAATGCCCTGTTTGCTCCTAATGTTATATTTTACAGTTTTTTTCATTAAAGTAGACTAATTTATAAATCATGTCCTTTGCAGAAAAAAATGAGGTGTGTCTCAAAGGGCCCAACAGCCAATATAGCATTTAGCTACTTTGATTAGAGTTTAGGGGAGTACATCTCTCCACCTGCACCCTACCGCATTCTAGAGTATTGGAAATAGGAATTTTATTAACTTTATCCCCTTAATTTTATATATTGGAGATGAAAACCTGATGTCTTACTGGAGTCCATGAGAGTTTTGCTGTTGATTTCAAGGAGCAAGGATTTCACTGCAGCTTTTATTTTTCTTGTACCTATGTTGCTTATAGTTATGGTTTTTGTTATAGACATGCACGAAGGGGAAGAAATGTTGAATGAAGGGAAAACATTATTCCATGGATGTGGGTATCACAACATCTATCCAACTCTGCTTTTGCATTGATAGAAAATGTAAAATATCTCTCCTAATGTAAATTATTTTGAATCTATGCAATTCAATTATTTTGAATCTGATTTAACTGTGCAAATGATAGACTTGCAAAAAATTAACTAACACTATGTAAAAATGAAATTCAGCCAATCTGCCTTATTAAAAAGGCAATAAAATGGAAATTTAACATGCTTTATAAAATGGATAGCGTATGAAAAATAAATAAAAGCCAGAGACAAAAAATTAATGATATTGCTGGAAGTTGAGTGCAGTTTTGAATTTATTTACTGTTAAAGAATATAGAAATTCATATTTGAAATATAAAAAATCAGCACTATTGATCTACTGTTAGTGTAAACATTTCTTATATTTATGTTTTGACAATATAACAAGACTTTTATGAGGGTGCATAAATGGTAGCAAACTATCTGGGCAGAATTTCATTTAATTTACCTTTGCATATTAGTCCAAAATAAATATTAAGCATTTACATAAAGTATAGTTAGTGCTCTGTGAACACAAGTTTTGAACAGCCCTGTACTTGTGCAGATTCCTTATCCTGAAGCTATACAGTAGGTAGTTCATTTGTGATGGAAGAACATGATCATTTGTACAACAAGGACATATTTGTACATCTGTGCACTCCCTTTCAGGAGCAGCACAGAGCTAGAATTCATCTCACTCCTGGATTTGCTTGCAATAAATGAAAGGGTTGAGTAACCAACACGCTGGCTAGACTTCCCTCCCTTCCTGTTCTCTAAGAGCCAGGTCTTTGCCCATTCCACCCTTCCTTCCTGTCTTAAAAGTGCAATGACAGAAAGATTAAAAAAGAAGTTATATTGACCTTTTATCCCTACTAAAGGCGCACACTGTAAATTCAGCTGAGAAAGTGTGGGAGGAGATTTAACAGGAGTCACTTAGACTTTTTATGGCGAGTGAAATAGTGTAGTTGAGATTTAGAGAACAGCATTGATACATGCTTCAGAGAATATGCAGAAAGATCTGATTGAAATGGCTTGCCACTTACAGTTAAATATTGTGATCTTTTAAAAGATACTTAGGTTTCAGCTATAAATTTTTTACTTACGAGCTTTTCATGATCTTAAAAATACATTCATTTCTCAGAAAACTCTTGTTGTCCTTCCTGGGTTTTATATTCTTCCCTAGCAAACCATGTTTCTTTACACCAAATAATTAACAAGTTAACTGTGCCAACTTCGGAAAAAGTTTTTGAAAATAATAGAGAAACGTCTAAGTTGAAACGTCTAAGTGTCCTCAGTTGGTAGGGGGTAGGAGTTTGCACTGACACTAGATGATTTATGTCTTCTAAGTGTTTAAGTGTCTTATGCTTGAAGGCTTTGATATAATTTGGCCTGGGCTGCTGTAATTCTTCAGGAAAGGCCTCCTGTCACTGCTGCAGGCAGTGCCTTCGTGCTATCTTCCACAGCAACTTATTCTACATTTCAGGTAATACAATATATTTAAAACACTGCATTGAAAACCTGTATACTTTCCTAAAGTAGTTCTTTTATAGAAACAGATTTTTTTTTTTTACAGATGCAATTGATACAGTTTTCTACTTTAATGCTCCCTGTTTAATTTTAAGCTGTAATACCTAACTACAGTCAAAATGATAATACTTTATCCTAAAAACATTTCATAAACTTTAGACCATGCATCACTGAATTAGTTAAGTTCTGAGGCTGAAAAACTGAAAACAGCAAAAGAGATCAATTATGTATATGAACTAGCTGTCATTCCAGAAAACTTGTCATTTAAGGCCTTGGTAGCGTCTGAAAATAGTATTTAAGGTGCTTGGTCTTCTAGCTTTACTCTTATCTTAGTCACAGACTTCACGTGAGCTTGATCTTGTATGAGACATTAGACTCTCCTGTTATTCTTCCACAAGCCTTTAAACATGCATGGCATTTTAAGTTCAAGCAGGTGGGTAAACCTGGCAAGAGTTAATGACATAATCAATGTACTTGACATGAAGTACATTTTTCAGCCCTTTGCTGCTGTTACTCAGCACTTTGCAGGATCAGGCCTTGCAGGATCTTGAAGCGGTCACAAATCTCTAGGTCAGTAATTCACTCCTGTTTTAAATAGATGTTATTCTCTTTTCCTAGAAAGTACTCAAATGCTATGGCCGTGAACATTCAGTTACAACACACATATAATCCTCTTGGATAATAATGGGTTTTTTTTAGCCTAGCTTTTGATCTTTTCATGTACTGCAACTGTATGGTTTCCTGCAATAGAAAGTTTAAGTCATAGTTCAGTTTAATGACATGTCTGTATTTGGTGAAATGTTAATATTGGTGGCTTGTTAATACCGAGTGAGCAGTAATGCTCTTTACCGGTATGCTACTAGAGCTGTTTGATCAGGAACTTTTAAAGAATGAGTTTTAACTAAATAATAAATATTTTATTTATTCATACACATAAAGATACATACAATAATAGTGAAAAGCATCTGTATGTTCACTTGGTTAAGATATTTCAGAGTTGGTGAGTTTTCTCAGTATATCACGAGCTTGAAGAGGGGCATCCAGCTGTCAGATACAACCCATAAGAGAGTATATCTGGTCCATACATTTCCTTTCCTTATATCATGTTCAAACTCCATGGCTGTCAACAGTATGTAACAAACAAATAAAAGTTCCCTGGTATGTTATAATAGATAGAAATAGGTATAATACATAGTTTTAATGCATTTTAGTATCATCACTGGAAAGACATGCTATTGAAATGCAGCACATTACATTTCTGCTTATGTTTTAACAGGAAAATCAGAATATTAATTCACTGCTCGTGGCACACATTTAGGACTTTGGAGAAGAGATGAAACTAAGAAAGAACATATCTAACTGTTGAATGCGTTAGAAGAGGAAGTCTGAACACCATTTGATTTGTTGTATTTTCCCCCTAGGTAATAAGCTCAATGAGCTCCCTTTCAGAATATTGCCTACCCTCTATTCTGCGCACTTTGTTTGATTGGTATAAAAGACAAAATGGCATAGAAGATGAATCTCATGAGTACAGACCAAGAACGAGCACTAAATCCAAAAGGTATAATTTTTAATATGTATACATGCATTATTGATAGATTCGAAGGTAAAATGTATTACATTTCACCAGTCATCTTTTGTAGCATTCTAGTTGTTTGAATGTTATTCTCACCTTTTTCTGCATGTTTCAGGAACTCTGCTCTCAGCTTTACATAGATGGAGTGCAGCAAGCACTATTTAAAATTATGCTCCTATTAGTTCAAATATTGGTTCTGACTGCCATTTTGGATGCTGTAATGTAATTTGAATAGTGACTTCTATAAACTGTGTCTATCTATCTGCTTTACTCTTGTGAGCAGGCAGTAATTCTCTGACACTTGGAAGGATTTATTTTATTAGATGCAGCGTTCTGCTTAGTCACAGAATTTCATACACACCTGTTCTCCGTCCAGAAAACTCTAGATCAGTTCAAGAGCTTTACAAAGCTTTACTTAGCTCTTAAAACAAACAAGCAAACAAAAATAAAAAGCCAAAAGCAAATGTCTTGATCTCTTCCCACATCAGTGATTCTTCAGTGCTGAGGCAGCAAATTGAGCTTGGCTTATACTGAGGTCTGAGTGTTTACTACAAGTATATTTTTTTAACCTCCATTTTCTCTGAATGCTTTGGTATTACCTTTTCACACTTCTAACAAAACAGCATGAGAATCAACAGTGGCAGACCTGGTGTTTGGAAACACATTGGCAATTCCTTACATTAGGATCCCAATCCAGCAAGGCAATAGCCACTGGAATGAAAGGCTAGGAACTATTTTTAGGTATCTACAAGGTAGGTGTCTACCTGAATCAGACTCTTCAGGCTCTCTTTATGGTCATTGGAAGTCAATTAGATGATTGCTTTTGAATGGGATGAATCCTTGCCTTAAAGTGCCTCTTTCTCTCCATTGACCATTACAGGAGCCTGTTATAGGGAGACCAGCTCAGATACAGATATCTTCAGGAACACCAGCCAGAATCTAGTTGAAAGTCAGCTTAGCAGTGTAATGGGGCCACTCTGTTAATTAGTGTTACAAAAAGAGCCTATAACCAGCTGTTTCTCAGGTTATGTGAAACGAAAACCCAAAATGAAAATACTTTATTCTATCATTGATCAAGCAGAGCTCTTAAGTATATGCTTAATTATAAGCACATGAGTACAGCTGAAATCAATGAAGTACTCATGTGTGTAAGAATTGTGCTGGATCTATTGTTTACTCAGAAGTCTTGCTTAAATCAGTGGTAGCTTTGCCTCGGTGAGGCTGCAGGACTGGCCCTTTAAGCTTTTATTTTACAAAAAGAAGTATTCATTTCATGTCATGTTTGCAATGTACTTTGAAACTCTGAGCAGGTGATCCAAATAGATATTACTTGTATTGTAAGCTACTTATTCCTCTGTATTGCTAGGCACCAGGAATGCATTTTAACATCTTACAAATGATGCCAAAGTTAAAAAATAACACTAGAACAGTTTTTAAAAGACTATGTAGTTAGTTTATGAATCCTCAACCACTACTTTTTATAGCAGTTTTCAAATCCAACGTGTCTAAATTTGAATTTGATAGCACAAAATATTTTACTCTGTTTGCCTCCAAAATGTAATTGAGGACTGTCTAAACAGTGCCATCAGCAGTGAAATTGAAATATAATATCAATTTGTTAGAATACAGAATCAGAATTTTCTTGTTTTGGCGTTTTTTTTTCCTGAAAGAGTACTGTGTAGATCTTAAGCTGGAAAAAATCAAGGGGAGAAATGAAGAGTGGCATTTCAACATCTGAAAATTGATGAATGTAACAAGTTGGATTTGTTCTATTTTCTCATATTTTATGAGCATATCAATACATTACTCTTTTAAATGCTGGACTACAGTTTGAAAAGTAAAATACAATCCACTGCCATCTATGTATGTTAACTGAAGAAGGCATATAATATGAATTATGGCACATCTCATAGACATTGTGTTTCTTGTTTTGATTTTGCAGTGATGAACAGCAGAGGGACTATTTAATGGAAAGAAGAGATCTGGCTATTGATTTTATTTTTTCCTTAGTATTAATAGAAGTTTTGAAACAGGTATGGAGTAAGTCATAAATAATGGAAATTACTGAGTATTTTGTCTTACAACTTAATTTCAAGACTCTTACTTGTTTCTGCTGCCACCTTAAAGAGCGTAATAAAAACATGAGCCCTGGCCTGCCTGTTTGTTTATTGTTGTTCTTTCTTGCACATATAGGTAGGTAGGATACATAGAATTCTGTGTTCATACAGATTTCACTTTGCCAAGTTTTTGGAGCTGAACTATTTATCCTCAACTAAGTAAACTTTAAATGGCTAGCTCATTTCAGGTATTTCATTAGCTAGCTGCTACCTACTTCAGCTGGTAAAATATTTTAGCACTAGTATATGCAGCTTAAAGTTTAATATATGTATACCAGTTATGTTTTATTTTGTATTTTCAGATTCCTCTCCATCCTGTAATAGACAGTTTGGTACATGATGTTATTAACCTGGCTTTCAAGCACTTTAAATATAAAGAAGGGTAAGGCTCTTTTTCATACCAAAATGCTATGCAAGAAATAGTTGCTGAATTGTTTACTTGTAGTGGTTTAAGCAGCCTGCTTTCCCAGCCATCTGACAAACACAATTTTCTTATTTCATGCCAGGTACCTTGGTCCTAACACTGGAAATATGCATATTGTTGCAGATTTGTATGCAGAAGTGATAGGTGTTCTAGCTCAAGCAAAGTAAGTATAATTTAATACCTTACCTAAAGAAAATCTGAGAATTTATACTTGGTCAGCATGTGGATATTCTGATTTTCTCACTTTCTTAAAAGAAGTGTGCCAGTAAATTTCAATTCATTGGCCCTTTGTTCACTCAGACGTTCTAGAGCAGAGAAACCGAGGGAAAATCGCAGGCTTTCTCCATCTAGTCAAGTGATTCTGAATAAATTCAACCAGACCGCAACAGCATTGTTCTTCTTGTCTCATTGATGGCATCTGTGGAAAGCCCCAAGGGTTGAAGAGACCTATTTCAATTAATCTTTTTTCTGTATGCTATTTTTTCTCTTAATATATCAAATCTAAAAATGGACATACTCCATTGCAGCGACATTTTAAAAACTCTTAGCAGTTAGTTCATTTTAGACCTTAATACAACTGCTTCTGAATCCCTCTTCCTTTTTTTTTGCTGTAGATGGTACAATAATGACATATAACACATTATAGAGTTGAATCTTAAATTTTGAATCAGGAAGCAGATAGATGACGAAACTCATATATCCAATATAACATCTCATCATGTACTTACAACACAAAGCAATCGGACGGGTGAAATCCACTGCCTGTGTCAAGAATCTCACTATCCTGACTGTGTGGTGTTGGTGACAGTGAGTCTGCTGTATCAAACCAAGCAACTTAGCCAAGCTAGGTTTTTTAGCCAGTAGCCATGGAGTTCATGGAAATCACACAACTTTCACATACTTCAGCTAAGGCCTTACCTGGGCTTCTAAATTTGCTTCGTCAAAGTGAACTCGTGAGTTAACCTCTGGATCTGGAGCTTCAAGCTGACTGCAAAATACAGACGGTGCCTGTTCTCTACTCCAGGATGTCATAATCATTAAGGGAAAGGATGCTAGGAAACTGGGTTACCTGGTGAAACAGATGAGATTCTTTTCTTGATACAGCAAAAAATCCCTAGAACCAGATGAAGCATTAATATTTGAAACGCTAGGTTGTTTTCCAGAGCTGAAACTGGGTGTCCTCTGATGGAGCTCAGTCCAGTACATATGAACAGTTACGCTTGCTCTCTCTATGGAAGTAGGAGATAATTTTTTTTTCTCCTCCAATTCTGAAGGGCCTGGCTGAGATGTTCCTACCTGTATAAGTTTTTCCTCCTGCCAACCTACTTCTTCCAACTCTGGTGTGTTCCCTATCAGAGGTGGTAACAATGCATTATCTGCTACACCTGCCCCTGAAAATGACAGTCTTTTCATTTTGTCTCAGCAGAGACAGGAGGTCCTGTTGGCTGACTTTTTTAGATGGTTTTTTTGATGGATAGTGCCTCAAAAGACATCAAAACAAGGGCACAAACCCTTCCCCTGCAGTTGTACCTAATGCTTAAGTGACACTGCAGTGGCTACTAGGAAAAACTGAAGGCTGGACTGCCTATGTGAATATGTTTATGGTTAGCATTTAAGCATTTGCTTTTGAAAATATTGTAGGTACTTTAAACAAGTCTTTCATCCTGAATTTTCAAAAAACATGTGATGGGTTATTTTAGTGATGCTGTTAGCTCATGCATAAAAAAGGAGCATGGTAAGAAAATAAGCGGAAAGATACAGTTATTCACAGGGACTAAGATCAGGCTGTACACCTTTTTATTTTCCTGAGTTTATTGTATTTGGGAAGTAGCTCACTCATACCATGAGGAGAAAGAGAAGCACTTTTCCAACAGCCCATGCTGTCAACCTGACCTAATGTTTATGTGCACCAGCAAAATCATCTTTATTCATATTTGACTGTAACAAAGCCGGAAGTTAACAACAGTGTTCCAAATGAGGAACGAGTGAAAAAATACTGGAAATATGAGAGGGAATTACTGAGGACTGTGCTAATATGTAAACGTCACATAAGAGTAAATCTATTCACATTGACTATATGATATTTCACAACCAAAGTTGAATCTTTTTTACATTTTTCCCCATTTATGTACCTTACAATATGTTTCAAATCAATTATACTGCTTTGTAACTAACAAATACGATTTCATAGATTTCCTGCTGTAAAGAAGAAATTCATGGCTGAGTTAAAAGAGCTACGACATAAAGAACAAAGCCCATATGTGGTTCAAAGTATTATCAGTCTCATAATGGGAATGAAATTCTTTCGCATTAAAATGTATCCTGTGGAGGACTTTGAAGCTTCTCTTCAGTTTATGCAGGTAAAATTGTTAAGTACAGAACTGTGATTTTCAGACCTCTTAGACTGAGCTCCTCTTCATCTTTTCTGTAATACTTTGGAAAACTTCCCAGATATCATTCCCACATAAATATACGTACAACTACTTTCCTCTTGCTCTGAACCTCAGCATGACAGTCTCCATTCTCCTGAGTATATCACTGCCTACTAACTTCTCATCAGTCTTACACCCCAAGTCCACATACCCTGCCCTCCAACAGAAAGAGATTTGGTTCTATAAACCCCCTGGCAACCTGCAGCCCTGTGACGTGGCCTAGCAGTCCCCCCTCAGCTGCACACAGCCTCCAAAGTAAATGTTCCACTTGTTCCACTCTTGACATAGTTGCCAGAGAGGAAAGAAACTTCTTCTGGAGAAAGACACAGAGGAAGAAACAAAGAAATGAGGAGGGAAGAAACAAAAGCTGGCTGGAATTTCCTTTGGATTTGTTGTCTCCTTCCACCATCCCTTCCCCCCCCCCCCCCCTCCCCCCCCCCCCCCCCCGCAAGGGGTGCGTTCTGCACCCACCCAGTTTGAGAACCAGTAATACAGAGCTTAGTCTGTCATGAATGCTTTAAACTAACAAATTACATTGTTTTGTAAAAGGAAAGAAAATCCTCTATATTTAAACGTTTTTACAATTCCACATTTCTAGTTAGTTATATGATGGGCCCCATTCCCATTAGCATGCTTATTTAGCCCAACTTGTTTTCCCTTCTGTCTTCTTGGGTTCTCTGTCATGGCTGCTGGGTATGTACACAGTCATCCACTGCTAAAATGAATGTTTTAGATAAACCTCTGTGTTAAGTTCAGCTTATTGATGCCTTTTACTTAGTGAAAAATAACCATATTCAATGTTAGATGCCCACAAGTAAAGATTTGACACTGGAATACAAATGCACATGCATACAGATACACACAGCCATGTCTGTAAAGCCTAAGTAGGAATCAGGTAATATTTTAATTTTCCAATATGCTTTAAAACATATTTAACAACATAGGAACAGCTCGTTATTCTTCTTACCTTGAAGCAGCAAGTCCACATTAGTACCGTTTCAGTAAATGAATATACATTTTCTTCTGTGTTAACTTCATATAAGTTATTCAGAGCTGGCAATATCAAAGTAGTGTGTGTTCAGTGCACATGAGTAATATGAATGTCATTGTATTCTGATGGTAAGGCACTGTTGAGGTCCAGTGTTCACTGTTGTTGAAATCAGAGGCAAAGCTCTCATATAGTAGGCTCAAAATTTGGATGGAAATGGTCTCCACCTTCTTCATCACTAGAGTATCTGAACACAAAATTAATTCCTACATGTACTACAATGTGTCTTAAGATTCGCTGTCTATGTAGGAAAATCAGTTTTTGCTTGGTTTGATGAAATACACTTACTGTTTGATTATGTGGGTGATCTACCTGTTAGTTTAAGTACCTAAGTGCAGTACCAGAGCCAGAAGCTCTGTCACACCAGCTCTTCTCTAATAGAGAGACACTTCTGAAGGGGGAGCTAATCTCAGGAGCGAGCTCCAGAGGCTCCAGAAGAGCCTGTCTTTCACCACTGACTGCAGAAGAAACGCAGGAAGACTACTATCTTTGCATAAGGGTGTCAGCTACAGAGTATACATGGCTGAAGTGACTGAAGTTATGTATGAACGTATAGAATCCTGAAAGTAGTCAGGAAAAGTTATGCATGGGCTAAATTGTAAACTGTTTTGCATGCATGTGCAAGGACAAGCGACCTTCCTTGTAATGAGAGTGCCTGTTTGCACCTTGGACCAGAATGGAAAAAGCAACTAGAACAGCATGATTCTGTCGTCCTTCTCAGAGAAGTTGTACAGACACGCAGGAGTGGGCAGATGCTTATCTGCTCGTCCCCACTCCTAAGCAGCACAGCTATGTGCATAGTAGCTCCTTCATGTTTAGGACAAAAGCATGTTTCTACTTTCTCTACTCTCGGTTGTAGGCTAGAAATTGTGGTGGTTTGAATCACAGGTTTCTTCCCTTACATAGCACAGTTCTGTATTGACTCTTAATTTGAAATGTATCCAGCAGTGATTTTTTTTCCCAAAATATTTAGAGTTCCTTACCTTGAGTGTCTTACCAGAAAATTACATTCCTTTTCTGTCCTGTGTGGCTCCAGAGCATTATGTGAAGCAGCCTTTTGGGCTGTTATTCCTGCTCCTGAACATATAAGCAGGCAAGCCTTGAGTTCAGCCCCTGAGTCCAGGTCCCTTTCCCTCCCCAAAGCAACAACTTGCACAGCTGGAGTAAGTGGAGAGTTTCTGAGTTATCATGGTTAGAGCAACAGATCCTTGCTCTGTTTCAGGGGTTATGTCCTGCTTTGTGCTTACTGCAGAATGCAGATTTAGCACTTAAGACACAAATCAAATGCTTTCTGTGGGATTCTCAAGATAGAAATAAGCAATAACACATGATACGCATTCAGCAAACATTTGGTTGTCTTTGTTCCAGCTGATATTCAATTTATGTTTCTCTCTTGTTTTGTTTTGCTTTAGGAATGTGCACATTATTTCCTTGAAGTTAAAGACAAAGATATCAAGCATGCATTGGCAGGACTGTTTGTTGAAATTCTTGTCCCTGTAGCTGCTGTGAGTTTATTTTTTTGTGTTGTTTGCATAATTTTGTTAAATTAGATAAAACAGCTTGTGAAATAATGAGTTATTAACATGATGTTTTCTTTTAGGCTGTAAAAAATGAAGTGAATGTCCCCTGTCTGAGGAACTTTGTGGAAAGCTTGTATGATACAACACTTGAACTTTCCTCACGAAAGAAGCATTCACTGGTTAGTAACCCTAAGAAGCAGAGACTAAAATTCTTCATCAGAACTATCTCTGAGCAAGACTCTTGGAAAATTCCCAGAATTAATTGCAAAACTTGTTTCTGTGTTTGACTTTATAACCAGTACATTTTTATTTCCGGAAAAGGTTATTGTGTTTACAGAAATTAACTTTATTTATTTTATTCAAAACATGATCTAAATCAATCTGAATCAAAGATCTGTTTTCAGCATCTGGGTTTATGATTATTAAATGGTTAGGTTTTCTCATACTTATTATGTACAACCATTAATAGGAGAGGAGAAAGAACAGAGTTTGCTGCTTGTCAAGCGAGAACAAATGAGGCATGTGGGAACAACTCTTTCACAGGGCTGAAATAGTATGTTATAGGAACTAAAATATGTATAACACATGCCCTTTTAAATCAGTAACTTGGCTACCGTGCTGCTACTCTATTTCATTTTTTTCTTGTAAGACGAACAGTGGCACAGCAGTGTATTTTTGGAAGCATGAGTTGATCTGAATTAACTGAAGATCTGAGTCAGTTTGACGCTGGCCGCCTTCAGCATTCTGTCTCTCCAACTGGGTCAGCGCACGTCAGCACTGTGGCGTTAGCTAATCTGTTTTGAAGTCTTGGACCTTTTCAGTAAAGAAAGTTAGTGTTCATCCTTCCTTGTTCTATGGGAAAGTCGAAAAGACTTCCCTGTTCCCAGCAAATGCCAGTCACTAGTACAAGCAAACCTTTTTTAGGGATTGCACAAGTGTGCTTGTCCTTGCTGCCACCGTTGCGTCAGCCCTCGCGCAGTTCCAGAGGAGAGGCAGAGCATTCCCCTGGGGTGAAGTCTTGATCCGGTTTAAATTAATGGGAGACTTCAGATGGATTTCCAATTTCACTCTTGTATTTATGTGGCTCTATTCCACTCTGCTGCCCTGCTAAAACATTGTTGAAACTACAGCGGGGTAAGAGCTTTGCTGTACAGTTTTTACACTAAATAGAACTTTCCCGACCTAGTGGCTCTGCTTGCCAAAGTCAGTGCTACGTGCTTGAGAAAGGATTGCACAGCGGGGGCTCCGTGTTTGATTGCTTGTCTACACATACCACACAGGAGGCTACATAGTTAATAGTGACAAAATAGAATAGATTCTTGTGAGGGTGTGATTAGAAATGCAAACATTGCAAGGAGGAGGAGGGGAAAGGCAAACAACTGGCAGGAATAGCTGCAGTGCGTATTTTCAGGCTTCCAGGAAGAAAGCACGCTCTTTAGAGTCTGAGGAGGACCTTCTGTTCCAGGATCAGTGTTTTGTGAATCACTAGTTCACTGTTGCAAGCAGGATGGAGGGGATTCATCTCACCTCATTTTTCTATCTAAAAGCCTGTTAAAAGTCTGAGCTGGTCATTGAAGCTGTTCTTCCTAGTGAACATAGAGAATTAGGAACCTCCAGGAGGTATCTTCTGTCCTAGGACTCTGTCTTCGGATGGGATGCATCACTCTCAGGCTGTTGCCAGACTCTGTAACTGGTCTATCAAGTATTCAACTATGATAGTCATAATGTTAATCTGTTAAGAAATCCTTCTGTAAGAAGATTTTATTCTCCTTTGGCTTATGTATTCTTTTGCATTAAGGTTTTAAAAGTAAAAATTAGATGTACATTTGCTAGTTATTCAAGAAATTGAGTTTAATCTGGCTATAGGCAATCTGTGTTGTATATTATACGGTTGGAAGTTGGTTTTTATGCTGTATTTATCCTTTGAGCTGTGACTTAAGTTAGAACTATAGGATTAATTTTGAGAATCATTGTTTTTTTAACATACAGAAAGTTACCTTATTTTTTTGATTAATAGTTTTTAAGTCCTGATTGGGTATATGAACATGAGAACTGAAACAGAAAAGGGGCTGAAACAGCAAAATCATTTTCAAAATTAATAGGTACTTTTTAGCTTAATTTATTTAGTCCAACATTTGCAAGATGAATGTTAAACAAAGTTAAGTGTCAACAAGGAGACCAACTTCCAATATTTGAGCTTCTGCTTTCTCCTTTGCCTCTTTTTATTTTCCAGTTCACAAGATGTCCCACCAGCAGACCTAAACATTGCCTGTAATTAAACACACTTCAGTCGGGTGTTTGATACATCTCCAAATAAATGTTGTGACTGTAGCTTTTGAGGGCTATTATAATATTTGAGTATACACAACTCCCAGTAATCTGTGTGGGTCCTGTTCTGATAATATTACAGGGTAGTTATTTCCGTGTTCTGATTTCTGAGTTAACTGACAGAAATTAGGCCTGTGAGACTGTGAAGTTGTGACCCATCCTTGTGTTTGTTAAACTGCTGTACACAGACTTTTGGTTCATCCATAAAATAATCTATAACAGCTTCAGAGAAATATTCATTTTGAATTGTACTACTTAATGATATGTTTATGTAGGCTAATATGTATTGCAGAAAATGGAGGAGTTAAATCTTCACAGTAGTTCTCCAAAATTAGTTTAATGTTATGTTGGCATGCAAATAACATGGTATCATCATCCATTTCCTGTTTAGGCTTTGTATCCTTTGGTAACATGCCTGCTTTGTGTCAGTCAGAAGCAATTCTTTTTAAACAGATGGCATATTTTCCTCAACAACTGCCTCTCCAATCTCAAGGTTAGTGTCTTCTGTTTTTAATACTGTAGTAAAACTTTGTTAGTATTAAGTACACAGTGTGCACTATTGAACTATTGTAAATCCATTTTAGGTGACTGTGCTGGATTATTGATATTATCTGATTCCCTCCATAATTTTATCCCCTGACACTACAAATGTTTTAGCTGTACAGGTTTTGTCAATAACAAAAAATGTATTCTTCTACCCTAAGTTGAATTTCTCCTGTTTTTATTAATTGAACCAAGCCTGAGTCAAACAGCTGCACAACAGACAAGATTATTGATGAAAGTTGATAGCTTGAGTGACAGAGCAAAACCGAACCAATATTAGCTTGTCTTTTTTCTACAAAGGCATTCTCAAGGAGAGCACCTCCTACTCCTCTTTCAAAATGTAGTGAGTTGCAGCACACTGATTCCAGTGCCTGTTTCAGTCTAAGTTTCATTAAAAAAACCCTCTAAAACTAAACTGAGTACTTGAAGTTCTTTTTCTTATCCGTCCTTGTTCCTTTACCATTTGCCAGATCTTTGAAGTTCAAGACTCTCTTTCCCCTACAATCTGTGTTTCCTGACTAATACATAATGTTCAATACTTGTATGCTAGTTATGGCTACTATTTCCCCATATTTCTTTTACTCATGCCGTAACTAATGTCCCATTCTGCACCCACACTTAAGGTGGATCCATACAAAAGGATGGCCCAGGCCTGCCTGAAAAGGCCATTATATGCAGAGCACTGAGGCGAATGGCTCAAAGCAAGAGTCTCTGGACTGCCACTCAATGGTCCTAGGGCTCAGAGGCCTCTGCAAGAGGCACAGGTAGAATTTGCAACCACTGTCTCAGCTCAGAGGCAAACTGTGGAGGGGATCTGTATCCAAAGTTTGAAACAGAAAGCTGCCTAAGATCGAAAAGCCAGAGTCTTGTACTAATTCAAAAGTTTCCAAAAATAAACAGCAATTCAGACAGATAACCCAGTTCACTCCAGTGGATCCCAGATGCCACATTAAGCAAGCGATCTAAGCATGCACGCGTAGATTTTTATCCTTTCATTTTTTAATGTGTGCAATGCATAATAATTTATTTTTCGTTTATGTTTTTCATACCAAGTCTCCACCATAGAGCAACAGCCTTTGCCTTGACAGAATTAACTGAAGATGAGGTTTTCTTTTCAGAGTCAAATTGAGTTAGTTTACAAATAGAGATTTTAAATCATAACGCATATTTAATTTATACCAAATTGATAGTTTTGTTTTTTGCTAACTTAAGTATTACTAGGAAAGGTAGGCCAATATAAGCATCCTGCAGCTACAGTAATGGGGTATTGAGGAGTTGTGAGGTGATAGCCTTTTGTGATTTCTTTACAGAAACCTTTGCATTCATTAAGAGTGAATGTGCAGAACTTCCTCTCTAACTTGTGCTTGAAGTTTATTCTTACATTATATATTTCTTCTAGAATAAAGACCCCAAAATGGCTCGAGTTGCACTGGAATCTCTGTATAGACTACTATGGGTTTACATGATCAGAATTAAATGTGAAAGCAACACAGCTACCCAAAGGTAAGCTGCTATATTTGTAATGATAATCACGCCTTGTAGACTGGGGGTTGCCAGTGAAGACATGGTAATGTAGTAATGAAATTAAATAATTCAGTCAAATTTGTAACAAACTAACAGGACAAAATGCCATGTTATCTTTTCATTGCAAAGAAAATATATTCTAGACTTTCTAAATGGGAAGGATTTCTAACATATGTTTCGTGATAATGGAATAAGGTCGACCTGCCAGTATCACTGCAATGACCAGAAATGTGCCTGAAGCTTTTTTCCTTCTCTTACAGTCGACTTATTACTATTGTCACAACACTTTTCCCGAAAGGGTCCCGTGGTGTTGTGCCAAGAGATATGCCTCTTAACATCTTTGTGAAGATAATACAGTTTATTGCACAGGTATGGGAGATCCATGTGTATGCATTTCCAAATAATGAATAATTTGTTTTCCTAATAACGAATTAATGAATGAATAAACTTCTTTTATGTTACATTTTGCTACCCCATTGTCAGTATCTAGGCAAGGACAAAATTAAGCACTAAGTTGTTGAAATCTTCTTTTTACTAACAGTTTTTGATTACTTTCATTCTACTGAAAATAAATACAAATGTTTCCAATTCAACTCAAGTGCACTTTTTTGTCAGTTTTTGGAATTACCAGCAATTCAGAAAATGCATTTGTTGCCCAGCTCTGACTGTGAACAAAGCTAAAAATAATGAGCCGTATTTTGTCATGGTACTGGAATCAGTCATACTCTATATGACAATGAAGTTACACTGCTTTTAAAACAGTAACTCAGAGGAAAACCAAGTTCAGCATGTAATCGACACACTTAGTTTTGACCAGTGCAAATGGGAATTGCTAAAATAAACTCTCCTTCAGTGCCAGAAATTTCATCTCTCTTATTACTTCAATTCAGAAAACATTCCCACTGAGCAGAAGCTTTTAGGCACATACTTAAAAATAAAGTCTCTGAATAGGAATGAATTCAACAGATGCTTAAATTTTTCCCCGAACAGCACCATCTGTGAATAAGCTTCTTTTATATGAAATAACATGTTAGTAACGTAATTACCATAGTTTAAATGCAATAATTAAAAGCCTTATTTCCAAAATGGCTCATTTTCTATTTAAATACTATGAATTAAGTAGTGAGAATTTCAGAATTTGTCAACATACAGCAGTGCTGAAAGCTTAGATGTGATAATGTGTTCTGCATACTTCTGAAAATCTGGTTTTCCATACGTTTAAATAAATCCTGATTAAACCGTTTTTCAACATTATATTGCCCTAAAGAAAATAAGTGGCAAAAATGAGCAGTACAATGATTTGCAATATTTTTTCTATTTTAGGAACGTTTGGATTTTGCAATGAAAGAAATTATCTTTGACTTTCTTTGTGTTGGAAAACCAGCAAAGGCTTTCAGTCTCAACCCTGAGGTATGACGTGCATCTGTGGGTTTTTTTTTTCCTTTGAGTTTGTATATATTATGTTGTGCGATGTTTGCTTTCTGGTTACATTCTAAGCATGCTTTTACCTTTATCCAGTTTAAAGCAAAATCGTGAGCTTGATTTATTGGCAGAATATATCTGTGGACTTTGATCTGTGAAATGTCACATTGTAGATGCTTGGTTCACATTTCCTCCGTGAAGATTGCCAAATGTGAAGTAGTGCAAATGCATAAAGCAAAAAGGAAAAGAGAGAAAGAAATAAAACTATGGACCACACTATCTCCTTATCATTCTGCTGTTGATATGTGTAATGCCTTAAACTATTTTAAATATAAAAATACATTTCTTTAGCAATCTCAACTTTTTCAAAATATACTTTTACTGAAAAAGAACACACGATGAAAAAGAACTGAAGACGACAAAAAAGAACAAATTCTGGTAAACTGAGTTTTATCACTTTGACCATGTAAATTGCCACTAGTTTTAGTGTTTAATGAGTCAGCTTTCTAGTGCTTTCCCCAGAGAAAACTATTATCAGAATTTGAGAAACTGTAAAAAAACAAGAAAACAATAAAAAACATTTAATATTGTCTCATAAAATATGTCCACATTAATCTTGTAGTATTACACAGTCATATCCATTCACTAGGATCTTAAAAATAGAACAAATTGCCTTATTCATAAAAATTCTATGCCATACTAAAAAACAAGAAAACATTTGGAAAAGTGAATTAAGTTTTTTATTGTCAAAATGAGTAAAAATAAAAGGCAGGCTTAGCCTGTGTGAAAGCACAGCTTTCATCTCTATTTAACAGCACAATGAAAAAAGAAATGCAATTTTTGAGCAGGCAGCCCTCACCAAGTACTAGAGCAGGTTCACCTGCAGTATTGATTGAGGAAGGCCCTGTTGTCCTGTGAAGCACCTTGTGTATTAGCATTATATGAAGCAGAACTTGGAGGGAATGGAGACAGTAATTCTTTGCTTCTTGATGAATTTGAAATTTTACTCTATTTACATTACTAGGATATAGGAAACATTACTGTTACTTAATTTTAGTACAAAGATTGGGCTTTTTCCTCTGGTGAATTCTCTGAAGACATTCAGTTCACTTGGCCTCATCTTCCTGATGTTTTCAGGCTGCAGTTTTGGCGATAAGCACCATTCCAGATTTTTTGCATAATACGGTCAAACTTGTGATTTGAGACCGTTCTTGATCTTTCTTCTTAATGACCATTTAAGAAATTCATGCTTAGCTCAGGCCCAGTTAAGACATATTATTAAAATCCAGTTCAAACAAGCCTGGAGAGGTAGATCCACATGTTTTATGCTGTAGATAAAAAGATAACGTTCTCATGAAAATACTTAGAAATAGAATTTTGAGGGGGAAGGGCACTGTTCATAGTGCAGATATAAATTCACAAGTCATTTGGGGACATTTTTAATACAATATTTTAGACTAGATCTGTGTCACCAAAATACAGAAAAATGCAGGCAAGCGTGCACTCAAAATTTCAATGTGTTTTAGGCATATGAGTAGAGCATGATTATTTGATAATGATACTCACTCGTCTTCTGACCTTTACAGAGAATGAATATTGGTCTGAGAGCTTTCTTGGTAATTGCTGATAGCTTGCAGCAAAAAGATGGTGAACCTCCAATGCCAGTGACTGGAGCTGTCCTCCCCTCTGGAAACACTCTCAGAGTGAAGAAAACTTATTTGAGCAAAACTCTTACAGAGGAGGAAGCCAAAATGATAGGTCGGTAAGAGAGTCATCTATTTCTCAGACAAGAATGAATGTGAAAGATTCTTCAGTACCTGATCAGAATAATTTAATATCACTAAGTATTTAATTGATTTTCTTATTGTAAGAATGTACTTTACTGCATGTTCTAATGAAATCTGCACTTCACATTGCCAATTATTTTTTCCTAGTTTTGTCTTACTGGATATTACTGGTTTCCATGTATAATATATAAGATTAAGCTAAGTAGATCTTGTATTTTTTTACTTTCTCCTTTGCAACTGAACTTTTTATCATAGTTAGACCTGAAAATTGAGGTCAGTTTGAAGTTTAAGCTTACGTTGTCTTTATCAAATAGGAAGAGAAGTGATTAGAGAACAGCTGATTAAAAGTATATTGTTCAGTGTTAGTATCTAAAATTTCACTTAGAATTCTCTGAAAATTTTATCCTTTAAGTAAGGAAAAAGAGTTAATTCAAGTTTTATTTTTAAATATTTGATTTCAGTTTGCCAATGTAAAGCTGTATAAGCCCATTACTGTATTTCACATAAAATGTGCAGCATTTTAGAACTTTTCTCCAGTGGAAAATATATACATATACATTGGGCTACTGTTAGAGTAGAACAGAATTAGTTTTTAGAGGGCAATATAATCCATCTCTGAATCAAGTTATCATTACTAGGGAAATAGGTTATACCATGTGTAAAGCTTTTCTTTTTTTTAATTCATGCAGCACAACTTGATTAAGTAGCTTTCTTCTTCAAAACATATGTATCTGTAAATATCCCAAATTATACAAAAATGCATATTATTGCAGGTATGTCGTTATATTATTCTCAAGTAAGAAAAGCTGTGGACAACATACTCAGACATCTTGACAAGGAAGTGGGGCGGTGCATGATGCTAACCAACATACAGATGCTTAACAAAGAACCTGAGGACATGATCACGTGAGTGCTAAAGAACAGAAATCTCATGTGTTATTGAAGGTAATTTTAGAACTTTTGCTTTATTTCTGTTTATCTCAAGTCATCCAAGAAACAGCAAGTAACAGGAACGCTTAGTTTATGCCGACGTTGAGGACCTCTCAAATTGTGTGTGACAAGTTGGGTATGCTTGTCTGCATGTTACAATATTTGGGATTGCACCAACTATGTCGATGTAGCCAAGATTATATGTGAATCTTTGGAATGTGTAGATGGCAGAGGAAATTGAAAGCCTAGGATGGAAAGCCTATCATCAGCTTATGCTGGGAACACTGCTTCAGGGTACCTTTGCATCACTGAACTTCAAAATGAATGCAACAAAATCTGTAAATCCCAGTTAAATGATCTTTCAGAATTTCTATTAATATTCATGCTTATAATCACAGTCAAATCTTCATTAAAAACCCAAGTCATTTGTGATAACAGGCTCACATTTCAGAAGTGCCCCACCGAAACATAATCGAACTAGAATGCTTTTCAAGCAGTGTTCAGCAGCAATGTTTTCCTACTCTCATCCAAAATGATTAATGAAGGAAGTTTCCTGGAGAGAAACTTCTGGTGAGGTGGACTCTGGCAGACCTGAGAGACTCAAAGACATTGTTCACTGAGACGTGCAGAGCACCCAATGTAGCATATCTTTCCTGTTAAAGGGGTAGACGTGGTAGTTATGTTTCAGGAGAAGCAGCCCTATGTGCTTTTTAGGAAAGACAGGCCAGGAAGGTGAGGTGGTGGAGTTGCCCTTTATGTGAGGGAGCAACTGGAACGTATGGAGCTCTGCCTAGGGGTGGGTGAAGAGCAAGTTGAGAGCTTATGAGTAAGGATTAAAGGGCAGGCTAACATGGGTGACACGGTTGTGGGGGTTTACTACAGGCCACCTGATCA